AGGTCACATAGGGTTTCCTGTTGTAGGATTTGGGGATGGAAGCTTCAGGCTTAGCATTCGACGCGTACCAAGCCCTCGATGAATAAAACAATGGTCCAAAAGATCCTCTATAGAATCCCACGGCTATAATCTTATTATGATTGCAACTTTCATGGCGCAGGCTAGGGTTTACAATGTCCCTACGGTCCCTAAGGGTACCCCAATGTGGAGCCACCATCGGAACCCGGGATCTCAAGTCAAGTAGCTCCAGTCCTTGAGCAGAAGCGAAGTATGCTTTAGGAGGACCCCCCCGCCCTGTCATCGGTGTATAGTAGGAATATAATCGGACCCTAAAAGAATCCTCAGTATCCCTCATAGTCACTAGTACTGGGTGGGGGTCCTCCTAACTCCCTCAGCCCTACACCCTAAATAGTGGTTTCGATCTTCTTTTCCATTATCCCTTGTAGTCACTATTATTGGGTGGGGGGTCCACCTAAGGTATGCTAGCCAATCCCCAGAATTTGGACATCGGAGCCTTGCTGCAGTCTCCATGCAGAACCTTGGCAGCTCTTAAGGTTTACGATTTAGGGTTTAGGTTTTCAGGGTTTAGGGGTTGGAGCCCGCAGGAAAGCTTTACACTCGAGATTCTTCTTGGGACTAAGCTACATGGGGGCCTGTTGGGGCTCCCAAGCGTAAGCATATATGGCTAGGGCCAAACAATACTGCAAACAAACACGGAACCTGGAAAGTGGCTTCAGCGGACAATTCTGCTTCCAGACATTGTCCGTGTGGGGTTCTGAATCAGCTTGGGCGCCAAAAAAAAGCCTGAATTATGTGGGCTTCCTTACGTCTGCGTGACGCTAAGTACCTTATTTTTAGGGGATTATGGTATGCTAAGCTCATGCGAGGTTTTTAGTATCAACTCTATAGCTCGTACGTGAAGGTTAAGTATAAGGTGCTGCATGACATGCTGGATTCATCAGATGGGCACCCTAAACTCTAAACAATTGTTGAGTTTGCTTCTGAGCTTGGTAGAGGGAAGTACTTAGTTTAGGGTTTAGGATTTAGGGCAGTTTACATTCTGGTCGCACGATCCAGGGGACCCAATCAGGAGCAGGCCGCTGTTTCTCCTCCCTGGCATACAGCTTAGACGAGGGCAATACGAGCTGCACTGGATTTAAGGGTTTGAGTGCGCGTAAGCAACCGCCAAACAGGAAGAGTTTCGAACTTCGACCCCATGAACCCTAAACCCTAAACCGAACCCTAGATCCTAAGCCCTAAACTTCCAAGTCCCTGAGCCAGGTCTTTTATTCGTTAGGGTCAGCTGTGAGTGGGAGGCTTTGTCATAGGTCGAGCAAGATTTCCTGCGTCCACTTGGAGGTTTATGGGACTTAGTAACCGCTACTTACTGGGTTTAGAACCCGTCGTATAATCCCAATAACTGGAGTTATGTAGGCTATCCTAATATGAAGTAGGGCTAGAAGCCCAGTTTTAAGTAGCTACGTTAAGCCTCATGAACCTCCAAGCACGGTACCACCTCAAAAACTCAGGATCACCATTTGCACGGGCACTGCGCAGTGCCACTTGCGTGCCTCTTCTTTCCATGGGAATTTTGGAGATTCACAGACTCCTGTGGCTTGCGGGGGACCGGTTCATGCCATCATTGTCCGAAATAGCCCTGCGGTCTTGAGGGGTAGCAGCTTCAGAAGCCCCAGCTTATTTTAAGTTGATTTTGTGGGGTTTCAGGGCACTGTGGCATAGGGTCTAGGATCCAGGGTGAGTCTAGTTGTTGTGTGGTTAATCTCCGACCTTCACTTTCATAGAAGCCCAATGCAGGGTGGTTGTTTGCGCATGGGTCCTCCAAACATTCCCGTGAGGTGTCCGATTTTATTGCAGTCTGTATGGGGATGGTATGGAAACTTTCATCTTGAAATGCCCACCTGTACATGGCTTCATAATGTAGAAGTCTGAAAGCTACCAAAAAACTGTCCCTTCAAAATCCTCAGAACTGTACTATAGCAAATAATCCAAGACGACCTTAAACCCTAAACCCTAAACCATCCGATTTAGTGAGGCCACTCCACTACACTACAAGGTCAGTAAACGTCTATAGGTGCCATGCCTTAGGAGGACCCCCAGCCCTGTAATTGCGGTATAATAAGAAAATAAGAGGACCCTACTATAATCCTTACTATTCCTTATAGTCACCATTCCAGGGTGGGGGGTCCACCTAAGCCATGCCTCCTTTGAATTTTCCATGTGAATTTCTATTTGATTCTCTGCTATGCTAATTAAGAGTGTCTCAAAACAATCCCTGTGCAATCCCGTATTGGGGTTCTAGGGTTTAGGGGCGATGGATGGACGAAATCTTGCACCGCCTAGGACCCGAATGCCATTGTAATTTGTAGGCTGTAAGGCGTGTAGGGTGGTGCAGTTTTTTTCCTCCATCCACAGACCCATGGAAGAACCCCCCACCCCAAGAAGACCCTTATGATCCGTACATATACGTTGCTAGGGCATCTTGGGATACCCTTTTTTTTAACGTATTTCTTGGTAATCTAAGGCGACCTCATCCCAGGCCCAAACAAGTGGTGCATGTAGGTCCTGAAATGGCCTTATTTCAGCAAGGCTAAAACTAAATAAAATGGCGACCCCGAGCCAGATAATATATTGCATTGTTCTACATGCGCGTTTGGCTCCAGGTATTGGATTTACCATCCTTGTATGCATTTAAAACCCTAAACTCTACACCCTAAACAGCTCATTTTGATGAACGCTGAAAGCGAGGTGCTTGTGGTGCCTAATCGCCACTGCAGTATCTATACAAGGCCTGAGCCCTTTTGGTTGAGGGGCCCATTCGAAGGGCTGTGGTGTAGGGTTTAGGGCATGGGATTATGTAAAGATATATGGGGAGTTTTGAGAGATATGTAGGGGTTTGGGTTTCCAAAAATTTGAGGTCCTTTCATTAATGTGAGTCCTCAAAATAAGGATTGGAATATTTTGGGGTCTATATTAGGTCCCTCCTAAACCCCTAAACCCTAAACCTTAAACCCTATACTGGGTCCCCATTTCTGGTAACCCCTCTGGTATTTCAGTTCGTTGAGGGTTTAGGGTTTAGGGTTTTGAGAAAATGCGTAGGGTTTAGGTGGTTTTGGGTTTAGGGAAGCAGGTTCTCTAAACTTCTAGAGCGGCGCGATACATCCTACTCGGAAGTCTGAAACTCTTTTTTTTTTTTATTTCTGAGATGTCAATGTTCCAGATCTTCTTGTCCCTTACATGGCTGCTGTAACGCGAGCAAGACCCCGCTGTGGTGTAGTATCAGTGGCGGTAGCACCAGGCGCAGCACAAGCAATTGCAGCAGGCATGGGACTTTGATTTGAGCAAGTTCCGCAGTGAAGTTCTCATCATCTGACTAGGATTAGTAGGGAGTAAGGGAATATTGTACAAGGATTATATAAAGATGAGATTCTCTTGTTTCCTATTGATCTCCCAGTAAATCATGCTGTACTTGCTACAACTTGAAGGAGACCCCACTCTACTCCTTGGGGCTCAGCTTGGGCCTTAGACCCTTAACCCTTTGGGATTCCCTTATATTCCTTTTAGAGGTAACAAAGGGTTAACCCTTAGTAGGGAGCCTAAGTGCCACGTAGTCTACCAGCAGGAGGCAGTGGACTTGTGCGAGAAGAACGAACCTATCCTCCCCTCCCCCCCTCCCCCTAGGGTTTAGGGTCTAGCGTTTAGGGCCCCTCCCCCGCTCCCAACCCCTCAAAAGACGAAATGCGTCCAGTTCGCCGGATATTTGTCAGGTTGTTCGACCAGGTATAAGTAATAACCACGTCCCATGAGCCTTCAACCATCCGAGGTAACCACTGCACCTATAAAGAAGGGATTTGTATTTCATATTTTGGTATCTCTACCTTTCTGTAGGGGGCTGCGTTACTGTTAGGTACCTAACCCCTACTGGGAGGCTCATGGGACTTAGTAGCTACCGAAAATTGGGCCCCACTTATAATGAGGGTAGCCTACATAACGCCAGGTAGGGGGATTATAAGTAAGGTGATAAGCCCAGCTTGTCGTGGTCACTAAGTACCATGAACCTCCAAGTACCTTAACCCTAAAAGTATGTGAAATAATAGCCCCAAACCCATAATGACAGCCATAAAGGCCATTATTTTACATACTTTTGGGGTCTAGGTCGACCCTTAGGTAAATCTAGGTTTTTTTTGGATGTTTCAGCCCGAGCAGGCTGTGGTGTGCCTATGAAGCCTACCTCGCACACGAGGTGAGGGTTCAGGTTTAAGGAATTTAGGGTTTGGGGTTTAGGGTTTAGGGTGCTTAGGGTTTAGGGCTTAGGAAATTTGCAGGTGGATAGTTTCCCTCATATTTGTCAGCCCTGCATGAGCAAACTTCAATATTAGGCATACTAAGGGACCCTTGACAGTGGACATAGGGCTCCCTCTTGTACTCTAGTATGGTCCCTTGGATAGTCCCCAAGAAGGAACCCATGCCCATGAATTATGTGGGACATATCCGTCAACCCTAAACCCTATATACCCCCTCAGTCTCCCCGTGTGAGCATTGTTCGGCCTCAGGGTTTGGGGTTTAGGGTTTAGGGCTTAGGGCTAGGGGTTGAGGTTTAGGGCTTAGAGTCTAGGGTCTAGGGGGGGTTCCCATTGTTCGGGATTTAGGATTATTACCTGTGCTGACCAGGGACCCGTAATCTTTTTGTAGTCTCCGTACATCAGCCGATAGCCGGATGAGCACCTCCCCTGACCTTCAACAACCCGACCTCCCTGATGTTAACCGGTTCCAATACATTATAGAACCCGAAACCCCAAACCCTTACCTTATGGGTCCAAGGACCCAAATAATAGGGCTTTAGGGCCCAAATACCATTAATGTTATAGTATTTGGGCTCTGAAGCCCTATTCTTTGGGTCCTTAGGGTTATTGTCTACCAGCACGGAAATGAATATTAGGTGGTGGGGGGCCCAAAGCTGTAAACTTTTGCCACTGGCCAAGGAGGGCAAGACGATCCTCATAGCGGAAGCGTCCAACTGGAACCAGCTCGCAAGCACTCTGCTGTGGGGAACGTTTTCAGGCCGACGAACTCCAAGGGCTTAGGGCTTCCTAGGTAGAAAATTCTACAGTATAAAAACCACGGAATGTCCTACAGCCCGTAGAAAGTATTCATAGATGAGACTCGTGTCTCGTAATGTACCTACCTAGCTTAGGAATGGAAAAGGAAATGACAAGAACCATAGCATTTCGTCTTAGGAGGGTTCAGGCTGGCTTGTAGGTAATGATCCAAAGAAAAAATGAACAAAATTACTATATGCGCTACTGTCAACAAGGGGCTGTTGAAAAGGTCCTTAAAAGTGGACATAGGGGTCCCTCTCACACTGTAGTTTTTTGTCCCAAATACATTTCCTGGTAAGGAACCCATGTCCATTAAGTTATGTAGGAAATATTCCCTAAACCCTATAAAGCCTAAACCCATTAAACTATGTAGGAATCATTGACTGTAGCTCATATGACTGGCTGGGGATTGGACTATGGAATTATGATTGGGATCCTCAAAGGACCCTAAACCCTAAACCCTATAAACCCTAAACCCTAAAGCCTACCATGGGCCACACCCCCTGTCATCAGGCCTAGAAGCCCCTGTAGGGTTTAGGGTTTAGGGTTTAGGGGGCCTTAAGCTAACGTTGGACGTATGGGCCCGTAACATGGGCCCTTAGGTGTTTCAGCGGGATTCTAGGGATCCTTCAGGGTAGAAATAGGGTATATAGTAGATATATAAGGATCCCCAGGGTTAGGGGCCCATACTAGGGGCCCATGGTTTCAACCTTGGACTTAATAGTCCCCAAGAGTCCCAAATAAGGCCCTGAATCTGTGGGGGCTCATCGAAGCCCATGAGATCCATCCCTCTAACCCTCCAACCATCCCCCTAGACCCTGGCCCTAAACCCTAATTCCTAAACTCTAAAACCCTAAACCCTAAACCCTCAAGCCCATATAAACTTACCATTACCTAGGGTACCTTAGGGTACCCAAATTTCCTTAATCTTAAAATTAAAAACCCAAAATCCGCCCCCAAACCCTAAGTAATGGTAATAAACTTAGACCCTAATCCCTAAACCCGACTACTAGCAAGGCTTGGGACAGGTGGTTGGGGGACTCCTGCCCCTCAGCCCCGAGCGGGTTTAGGGTTTAGGGTTTAGGGTTTGGATCCCTATACAAACCGTCCTTTATATACCCCATTATAGTAGTTTCCATTTCCTTTTTCATGTCTTCATTCCCAGCTAACCCAAGATAAGCCCTAAACCCTAAATAGTTGTTTCCATTTTCTTTTTTTCTTATCCCTATATAACTCCTACATACCACTATATAAGCGACGGTAAGTAAATCCTGGATCTTGGGCTTCACACCCCAAAACTCCGAAACTCCAGAGTTTAAACCTGAACGCCAACCCCCGAACTAGCCCATGCTAAGGGTTAAGGGTTTAGGGTTAAGGGTTTAGGGTTTAAGGTCTGGGGTTTGGGGTTCGTTCAGGGTTTAGGGGTTCAGTTTACGTACAGCCAAGCTATAAAAGTACTTGTAACCCCCAATCACAACCATGTTAGGGACCTTTGGGGCGTAGAGTAAGCCTGAACCTCCAAAACCCTGAAGTCTCATACGTAGATCCCAATCCCTAAGCCCGAACTTCTAAATCCTAATCCCTAAGCCTTAAACCTTAACATTTACACCTTAAACCCTAAACCAACCCTGAACCCCAAACCGTAAGCCATTAGCCCGATAACTGTAGTCTCCTTAGGAATTATGTGCACTGTTATTATAGTAAAACCTTCAGGAACTATCAAAAAAATGGAGACCTTTTTCTTATAGGTCTAAAAAGACTTCAGATGAACATCCAAGTCAACTTCAAAACCTCCCCCCAAACCCTTAAAAAAATCCCATAGGGTGATGAGACACTGAAGACGTCAGCCTTTACACCCGTACTGGGTAAGACATATAGAGAGTGGACGTCGAGCCCCTCCGGGCTCCTTCCGTACATCGAGAAGCACTGCTCTGCCTCCAGCCACGCTAGAGGGCCAAATCTCTACAGTGCTTTCAGAAAATGGCCCTTGCCTGCAGCAAATTCCTGAGCTATGCCCTAAACCCTAAACCCTATAAACCCTATGAGCCTTGAGGCTGAGGGTTTCTGGCAACCCACCAATAAACCAGCTTGTAGCCCCCTGTAGGCTCTGGAGTTGAGGCGCCCAGAGGGGTTTTGGGTTTAGGGTTTAGGTTATTGGAGGCCCTGAAAGCGCCTGGAGCGCTGGAAACCTGAAAGCCCGCCCCAGCCCCTGGAGGTTATTGAAGGCCCCTGGAGGCCCTCGTGTCATGGCCCTCAACACTAACAGGAAGTAGTTTGGGTGGTAGCCTATGATGTCTCACGGCGGGTGGGGATTTGGAAGAAAGCCCAGCTTCGATGGCTTCTTGGGCAACATCCACGAGGTTGACTGGGCGCAGAATGTGCCGCCACTCACAGATCCCTGGAAGTGGGGTGTCGCCATGAGCGTGGATACTCAGCCCTGCGCAGGTAGACGCCCTAAACCTTAAACCGTAAACCCTTAACCCCAAACCCTAAACCTTAAACCCTGAATCCCAAACTCTAAACCCTAAAACCCCAAACCCTAAACCCTAAACCCCAAACCCTAAACCTTAAACCCGAAATCCCAAACTCTAAACCCNNCCCCCCCCCCCCCCCGCACAACTTCCTTGAGCAAATGGCAGGACTGCTGGGCATGCTGCTCGGTTGGGGCCTGAAACTCTGGTAGCTTACCTGAGCCAGGGTCTAAGCTCCTTAACGGGGTTACATAAGGGATTATAT